ATATATATATATATATATATATATATATATATATATATATATATATATATTAGTTTTTTTTAGCATTTGTTACATATTAACATATTGATATTTACATTTAAAAATATATTTACATTTAAAATCCAAACCCCTTCCAAAGCTCTGCTTTGTAATTCTTTCCAAAGATTAAAGCTGTGCTTTATGTTGTTGGAAAAAGACACCAAATTTCTCTTTATTATTAAACAGGAGGGAAAAAAAGCCCTCTTTTAGTCAGCTTGTGATGTGCAACAACAAGTGGGGGAGGGGCGGCCTTGTCTTACTCCATGCATCAGACAGCCAGTAAACATTTTACAGGCTTTTTAAAATCATACACATTTTCACAAGAGTAAAAAAACATACACTGGAGTTAATGAGTTGAAAACCTTTCAAGTCATATTATCACTTATTTTAAGCTGCTTGTGCAGGTAAGAATTCAGTAACAATAATTTTATCTCACAATAGCTATGTACATTCATAGGTTTTTAGTACCGGATTTAATAAAATAGGGATGGAAAATTTAATGTTCTATTCTATTTTTTTATTGTATTTTTTTGGAATATACTGTATTTGTACAACTTTTAAAATGCTGAAAATCACAAATAACCCTAAATATTTTGGTAATGTGCAAACATTTTAGATCAACACTTAGTTCTTTCCAAAGAAGCCTACATTTATAGTAATCTTTAAAATCCGCCAGGAATAAGACATGAGATGTGATCATTTTGATTTCTGGTTTTGAAAAAAGGAAAGAACTGAAAGCTTTCAGATCAGGAGCGATTCAACAATAGAGAACAACAAGGAAATTAAGGCAGATTTAAGACATGCAAACATCTTTACTGTAAATAAATGAATTACTTATGCAGCGTAAATTCTATTTATGAATAATGATAAACAGTGAGGCTGTATTTCTTCAGTTTAAAAGCATTTTGAGAAATGTCAGGTCACTTGAGTCCAGTCAAAACATTTCAACTTGCAGCTGCTGATTTGGCCTGTGGGTCGAAGCTCTGGGGAAACTGGAGTTATTGTTTGTTTTCCTTCATAAATAAACAAACTATGGACACAGCAACTGTTTGCAGTTCGAGTCGCTTTCAGCTCGCATTCCCACAGGGTTTTATTTTCCAACCTTTATTCTGTAACTTATTTCCAGACTATCTGTGTGTCCCCTGCAGCTCTCAGCCCCCGAAGATCGTCTTCAACCGGCTCAACGGAAAGCGCCACAACGGGACGGCCACACAGAAGAGCCAGAGTCCGGCAGCAGAGGGATTCACGCCCGCACACGAGGAGAACGTCAGATTCGTCTACGAAGGTTAGGATCAGCCGATTGGTGGGCTGCGGCGTGAGGTCGGGCGTCCTGATCTAATCCTAAAGCCAATAGAAGCCGTTCACACTGGGGGTGTGAAGGTCAAAGGTTGGGAAGGTTGATAAGCCGGACGTTCTCTTTCAGATTTCTCCTCTGCAGCTGTGCTTCTATAAACTCTTACAATAACATATGGTCAGGTGAAAATGTAGTTAAATATTCCAAATCTTTAAATGGTTAAAATAGTGATTTATTTAATCTAGAGAAAAAACTATTCATGCCGATCTGCAAGGAAGTTCAGAAGATCACCAAAACAATACGTTACAATTCATTGACATCCAAAAGCAGATAAGAAACTGAAATGTTTGACATCTAACCATCTGGAAACGGTTATGGAGTTAATTGAAAGGATTTGCAATATAAAGCCAAAACAGCTGCTTTCCAAAAATAGAAAGTTTCATGTCATACCTTTCAAAAGAAGATGAAGAAAAAAATACATCTTTGCACTTGAGACATTTAGGAAAATCCCCTGTGGCCTGACAGAGAAGGACAATTCTGGAAAGTTATTTTCCTGTTAACAGCAATTTTTTCCAAAACTAAAAATATCGTATCATAAAGTAGAGAGACGTATGTTTCATTTAAAGTCTGCAAAGTGGCTAAAAATCTAAATGATATCAGAGCAGTGTGCTCTTTGTGAATAAAATAAAAAATGGTCCTTTAAAGACTTGAGAATGCTGAAGTTGCCCCTTAAAAATGAGTTTGTCGCCCCTGTTCAAACATACAGCCCTGCAGAATAAGATCATTGAACTGTCCAGCATGCTGGTAGCATTGCAACTGACCTATCCGAGGTTAAAAGGTCACAATACGCCTTCAATATTCCAACCTTATTTTATTGAAATAAACTGAATATTACCCATAAAACAATACAAACCCCTTTATACTGCAGAGAGGGTAGCCTTGCATATTAGTACAAAAGTTCAGAGCATTGACAGTGGCTGATTACCAGACTGTTTGATCATAGTTATACTGAGCTTCAGTTCCCAGCCTGTAGAACCTGTTGTCACATCACCCTCCTCTCAATCCGATTTCCTGTCATTAGAATTTTAGATAAAAAATAAATAAAATTTTATGGATAAGATCAGTTTCCCATGCAAGTATCAGGAAAATTTTACAGCCTTAGTAAACTTTCCTCTCAACCTGAAAATCCTAAAGTACAATAACCCTCCTTCTTTGCGCAACACGTAATAGAATAAACAAGTTAAAAAAAAAATTAAGGTTTTGGTTTGATTGAAACTGGGCTTACTTGAAACTGGGATGATTGGGCATGAATTTAACAATCTGTATCACAATCTACTGTTGCTGAACCAAATATTAGGATATGTGAGTGATTACTTTTTCACTGTGTGTCAAGAAGGTTTAGATACTAGCTCTCCGATAATAAATCAACATTTTAAAAATGCAAAGTGTGTTTTTCCAGGTTGTCTGTCATCAAAATGCCCTATCTAAATCAAGAAATGTGTAAGGGGTGATAAACATTTTCATAGCTTTATATCCTGTCTAATAAATGTGTTAAAGCTAGAGGGACTTTGGCTCATTCAGTGCTTCCCTTCCTGAACTATCTGCCCCTTACAAAGGGTTTGACTAACCTTTTTTCATTCAGAAAAAAACACAGATGAACTCCTCTCATTGGTTGCATAATGTTAGATTCAAATCATCCCATCTACAATAATTAAACAGGCTGTGAAGTCAGCGTCTCATGAAGGAAAGCGGCTCAGAGAGCTGAGTTTGTGTTAATAAGCGACATCCTGTTACTGTGGGGCTTTGACCAGGTGAGGCGTGCTCTGCAGTGGTATTTTATTACAAAATAAACCCCGCGCCTCATCTATCCCTCCTACACTAACTAATGCAACAGGGATTTGGTTTTCATATGTTTTATCCTTCTAGTAAGTCTAGTTGTGTTGTGCAGGAAATCCCTCACTCTGCACAGCTATCCCTGCAAAGTAGTGACCCCATTTTTCACATTGTGTTCCAACTATTCAGTAGATTTTATGTGATAAACTGGGAGGCAACAACCCTAAGAGCCTTTATGACATTCAGCTAAGGCAAACTAAATAAAGATGTGCAAAAGCAACATGACTCTTTGAGAGGAAGCAGCTCATTCTGACATCTGCAAAAAGGATATTTGTGTAGATTTTATAAACATGAAGGTGAGCAATTTCAGGTTAGTTTTAGGATTATTGCAAGTTTGTAGAAAATGTAAAAACACTCATGCTATCACGAGTGTGAAAGCACTGCCAACATAAATCAGCCAGAAAGTATAGCTACTGAGAAGTGGTCTGTGGTCTCCACCTGCAGAATCACTCCTTTAGTGAGTCTTGCTAATTGCCAATAATTTCCTCTTGTTGTCTTTTTTATTTGCACAACAGCATGTGATTTAATTGATTAATTTAATTGATTTTGATTTTTTTGAGCAAGATAGATTGATAGCTAAAGATCCCATCAATGCTGTTTAAAGAGTAGGAAAATTCATACCTTTCGGGTTATCAGCCATATTGGATATGGGTGTCTATAAATTAACAGTATTTTGACTCTCAATCCAAATAGATGTTGCAGAGATGCTTGTTTTTCTCTTCCTGAAGTCGTGTTTTATTTTGTGCAGTATGGCAGGAAGTAGAGCAGAAGCTGGAGCACAGAGTGGAGTCAGATGACACCAAGGGGCCTGTCCAGTACACAGAGAAGACCCCCAGTACTGTAATGAAGAGTGAGTAGCTCCACGTCTTTGCTCCTGCACTTCAAACAACACAACAAAGTGAATGGGCAGTGGTTAATCTCATCTGTGTGATTTATAACGGGCAGCTCTCTTCCTGTTCAGCAACCTGCAGAACTTTGACCCCTGTAATCTCACCTTGGGGTTTATCTGTTATCTGGTTTTCTGAAACGACACCAAAAGGGACCGCTTTCGTCATCCCAGTCAGACGCGACGCCGCTTTATATTATGCTTCACCTTCCATGTGCAGCCAGAGGGCAGATTTTGAAACAGTGCTTCAGTTTAAAGTTTTGAGAAGATCTGGTCGTTCCAGACAGACCGGCTTGTTTCGTCTCGGCTGTCACATGTTCATTCAGTCACACCAGTCTACTCCAGTTTGGGCCAGAAACCTTCCTGTGAGATTAGCTACAGTCGCACCAGTCCTCCCTTATATAACTGAAAACAGTAGATGCTGATTTCCATATTTCTTTGGCATAATTCCAATTACATTTCAGCCTGAATTCCTTTTATAATCTCATGTTTATCTCTGACAATTGTTATAAATCTTTGCTTAAATGACCCATGTGCTCATCTCCTAAATAATAACCTAGTATAAGATCTCAGAATCTAAGACATGAAAATGGGAAACATTCTTAGATGCATATCGTTCATCTGACCTCATAGGAAGGAATTGATTAAATTGAATAAGTATTTCACAAGAATTAATATTTGCTAACGTCTTTACAGGCTAAAAACTTCCACATAAAGCATACTTTTACTGCTCATAAATGTTGCTGGTTGAGCCGGGGTGCGTTCAATAAAACCTATTTTATGGCTCATTTTATCTTTTATGTACCCTATTGTTTTGTTTTTTTTTAAGCACTTTAATACAATGCATGATAAAAGCTTCATGTTAAACTGTAAACATGGAGTGGTGGCCTAATGGTTAGGGCATAGAGCTTGGAATCCAGAGGTTCTGAGTTTGAGCCCCACTTCTGCCACTCTGGCTCCTTGAATAAGACCCTTAACCTCACACTGCTCCCCAGTCGCCGCACAATGGCAGCCCACTGCTCCCCAAGGGGATGGATTAAATGCAGAGTTAATTTCTCCAATGTGAGATCAATAAGGTTAAATTATTGTTACACATTTATCTTTGACTGCCGTATTTTGATTCGTTTCAGACTTTGTGCCTATAGATCTGGAGGAGTGGTGGGCTCAGCGCTTCCTCGCCAACATTGCCAATCTGTCGTAAGTATACGGGAGCGCGCAGAGAAAGCCTGCATCGGCGCTCTTTGCGGGATGTCAGGAGAACGGCTCGTCCTCCGAAGCTGCAGCGTTGTGCATGTTTTGGAATCAGATTTTTAAAGCCCTGTGCTCCACGCTGCTGTTGGGTGCACGGTATAAACTCGTCCCTCTCCCCTCCCCCGAGTGGAGCAACGGCGAGCAGAATGTAGACTCTGACAGAACTGACCTCATGTTGTGCTGCATTAAAGGACACCTCTCTGTACTTGAACAATGAATACGCACAGCTTCCTGTACTTTTGGGTGTGTGGATGTTGAGTTTGAAAAAGTAAAAATGTTTTGCAAAACAAAAAACTCTATAGAGTTTTTTTTCTATTTATAACCCTATTTGTCATTGAGGATTTTTTTAGTTTTTAGAAAATAAAGGCGATCATTCATAAGATCAGATATGGTACGAGGTAACAAAAACATCGTTTTATTTTAACAGTCCAACATTGTAATAAATGCAACACCTGAAAAAAGAACTCCTAAAATGCATGAAGTGTCTTAAAAAGAGTATTTACAACATTTAAATCTGTAAACGGTTCATAATTTAAAAGTTTCTGCTTTAATATTTCCAGACTAGCTCCCATATATACATTTTTTTATATATATTTCCCCATGTCAAAATTCTCTGCTACAGCTTCAAAGCTCCATTTTTCCTGCTCCCTCCTCTGGCGCCCCGGCTGCTCTTTTTAGCCCTCCTGTGACCCGCTGTAGGATGGCCCCGCTTAGCCGTGGTGAAGGTGATACACTGGGAGTCCAGATAGTCCATTAGCTTCGCAGCACCGAGACGTATCCCTGCTTCTTTGAGCTGCTGCTGGAGCTGAGAGAGAACCAGAGGCTGGTACTGAAGGATCCGACTGTACAGGCTGGAGTCGGACAGGATGAAGGAGCGCACCGCCTGGAGGCGGTCCTGGAGACGAGAAGCCGCCTGGGAGGATGAGATGCCGCCATCGCTGTCTGAGTCGCCATCAGAAGAGAGAACCAGCTCAGGGTTGGACCTGATGAGATCAGATTTTTTACATTGTGTGGTCAGAATATCACAAAAACTGAAAACTGATTCACTCTCAGCTGTTTAACATACTTTTAGTCTACTTTCTGGGATTCTTTTGTGACACAAAAACACAAAATAATCCAAAACGGGTAAAGAAAGAAAAGGTTTCTGTAAAAGCTGTTGCACGATGGTGGCAGCATAATGCTTATGGAAATGTTAAATGGCACAGTCAAAGTCCCACCCAGATTAAAAATAGTGATCTTTTTGTTTAGTTGATCCCTTAGATCAGGTCTAAGGGGTGTGAATATTTCCCACTCCACTCACCTTTCTGACTCCTGGCTGGCAGCAGTGGAGGAGGAGCTGTTTGAGCCCTGTGAGGTGGAGAGCAGCTCTACTTCCTCCCCTCTAACAGCTTTGATGGGGGACGCAGTGTCAGGCGCTCTGGGCTCTTTAAACTGCCCCTTCTGGGCGCAGGAGACCTCCCTGCTCATTGGATGCTTCACCCGGGGTGCTGCTTCTTCCTCTGAGTCAGAGCTGACCAGCTGGTGGGTGTACTGGTGGATCTCCTTCAGCTTTAGGACCATCTGACGCTTCGGTAAAGGCCGCACACCGAACCTGCACACAGGAGAACATCAAAAGGTGCAGGTGATGGACAAGCAGATGACAGAAGGAAAAAAAAAAAAAAAGCCTGTTTCAGAGCGACTTAATGAGGAACAGATTGGGAGGGCAAGCTTTAGGACAATGATGGAGGTGAGAGTGAACCCACTAACCTGTTGAGTTTGTTCTTTAGCTCCGGTGTGTCCATGTCAGAGTAGTGGGGCATGGGGGTGATGGGCACCACAGAGGGACGCCGTTTATGCTTGGATGATACTGAGAAGACGCATGCGGCAGAAGAACAGGCACTGGGTTAAAGACTAGATACACTAACAGTGGAGATGTAGATAAGCTTGTTTATAGGTAGAAAACAGACAAAAATAGAGCTCCTTTATAAATAAAAGCCTAATTCAAACAACAAAGCCTTAACCCTTCAGCCGGCTCGCTCAAGTGCTACATCACCAGTCCTGCACACATGAAGCCCAGGTTCGTATCCCTGCTGGGGGGGGGCTGAGCTGCCAGTGTGGTTCCATAGGCAAGACAACTTCACCCTAATGTCTATTTTGTGAGTCGCTTTGCATAAAAGCGTCCTGCTAAATACATAAACACCCTAAACATCATAGGGCACTCCTTGAAATACTTAGAAAATCAACAATTCCAGACTGTTCTTGGAGGAAAGGACAAGACCTTTTAACTTTTGCAACATTAAAAAAAATATGTAATATTTAGATGGCAAAAAGTTAATGTCAATGTGATGAAAAGAAACAGCCACTTGTCCAAATTTATTAAGAAAAAGACCAAAAGTGCATCTAAAGAAATTCCTGAAAAAAGTGAAAGAAACATTATTTTTAGTTTTAACATAACAAAAAAATAACAGCATTAATTCTGATACAGGAACTTTTAATTTAATTTTTACATTTTTTTCTTAACTTAAATTTTTATCAGCTTAATTTACAGTAGGTAATATATCATACAAGGGCTCATAGGATTGATCAAATGCCAAAGCGACAGGTACAGCCAGGTAGCAGTACCTTTGCTAAAAGGCTGGATATAGATCTTGTGCTTCTAGATCTCACTGAGGGATGTGGAGAGGGACTCCATTTGTAAGGGGTATGCAGATCATCAAAAATGGTAACTTGCTCTATAAAGACTTAAAGGGGTCAATCATATACTACACCTATAAAAATAAGGTTTAGGTTAAAATAAAGCTCTATACGCCAAACATTAATCCTGATAGGGTCTTTTTAGTCCTTTTCATGCCTGAAAGGATTTTTTTTTCCACAGAGAACCATCAGCAGTTAATTATTGTATGCTATGCCATCTGTTGGCAGCTTCAGTGAACTCCAGTGTTTATACTGTTAACCCACTGCTACCTTTTCACACTTGATATGGGACTTTTCCCTTTTTCTTCCAACACTATTGCTGTGGAAATTACTTCCTTACTGCACAGATGCACAACACTGTACCGCCAGTAAAAAAAAAAAAAAATGCTTACATTTAGTAAGAAATCTACCAAAAATATAATATTATAAGTCAATAGGGTGCCATAATTTAATCAAAAAAAGTTTCTATGTAACCAGAGTTAATATATAAGGTAGAAATCCATAATCATAGTACAGTACGTGAATAGGCCCCTTTTTAAATAACAGGTTTCTGTATAGGAAAACAGACACTGAGACAATCCAACATTAGATCCATTTTCAGTGAAGATGAATATCATCAAGATGAAATTGTTGTTTGTAAAAGATTATCCTTCCCCCTAAATATTCCTATAATATAATCTCTGAGGCATCTTCAGTGGTCTGACGAAGCATTTCCCCTCTCCCTGCTTTATTTTTTGGTTTGTCCCACCTTCTTGTTCCAGAAAATCAAACTAATTCAAATTAAAGTCCAAAGAAAACACAGGTTCATTTATCAAGCCTTCTGTATCATGTATATTTTTTAGATTTTAAAGTTTTTGTGCAAATTGATGACTAAAAAGATCAATCTACCTGGAGTCTTGAGATGAGCAGACGGGTTCACCCTCTGAGAAAGAGGAAGATCCTCCTCCTCTTCATCACCCTCCCAGCTCTCCCATATTCTGGAGTCCAGGAGGCCGTTGTCGATCTCTGCTGATATCGGGGAGCCTGGATCCGGAGCAGGATCCTGGATGCTGTTAATAGATGGCTGTTTGGAGGCGGATGATGAACCGGGTCTCTCTCTTGGGCTCGAATCTCCAGTTTCCTCGAGTTTCAGGCTGAAGCAGCCTGGGTTGGCCTCCATGCAGGCGTCGAGGCCCCAGGAATCATTAAACGCTATCGGAGGTTCATCCCCAAAGCTTTGATTAAAACTGGCCTCTCTGACATCTGCAGCAGACATTTCTTCCTTCGTTTCCTGACTGAAACCCGTCCTCTCTATGTTTTCTTGCTCGTTTCTCCCTCCTATCCTATTGACGCCATGTTGCATGTTTGACTCTGCAGTTTTCTCGTGAGAGGAAGAGGAGGGTGGGTCTGAAGGGCTGGACATACGGGGGAGATGAAAGCTCCCGGACTCTGCGGCCCCCAGGCTGTCTAAGGATGTTCTCACTTTCATTTGTTCTGAAACGCTCTGCCTCTCCGGGTCTATGTGGAGCGGGGAAGCAGCAGGTGGGACGGGGGGCTGGAGGGGGTCAGTGTGCAGCGGGGTGCTGCTGCATGGCTGAAATCGCAGATGAAGGGGAGTCTCACGCTTCATGGATTCTCTAAAGGAATGTGGGGCTTCAAAGACTTCAGTATTCTTACTGGAGTTTTTATAGTTTCTTATAGAAACATTGAGGTCTGAGCTACTGAGAAGGTTCTCGCTCTGTTTGGACCTGGATTCCCGGCTCGCTGCGTCCCCGGCAGAGCCTCTAAGAGGACTGCTGCAGGTTTGAAACTTGTTCTTAAATGGTGAAGTGGCAGGGGAAGAGTCCCCTCTGGGGAAGAGCTGCGTCCTGCACATGCTGCTGTTGGTCTGTACCGAACAGGTCCTGGTTTTTTGGATGCTCTGGGGAGGAGTGGATGGAATCAACCAGGAAAGTTCTGGAGAACAAGCTGCTGGATCACCAGGACTGAACTGGAAGCTACGACTGGATCCTTTGGGGCTTGGACTGGATTTGATTCCTGTGTAGTTCTGAGGAGAATTCCCGCTCTTTACTTCCATCTCTTCACCTGAATCAGACAAAACGATGAGCTCAGGCTCGTCTCTCTTTGGAGACGGATCAGGAGAAAGAGGAGGACCTTGGCTGTCTCGCTGCTGTGACACCCCCTTAGTCTCTGCAGCTTCATCTCTCCGTTCTCCATCATCCGTCTGATGAGCAGCTTGGCCCGGCGACAGCCCTGGCATGGGAAGGTTAAGGGAAGGTTCGTCTACGACGCTTGCTGATGACTGCAGTAAAGTCCTGCCAGAACGTTTGGATACTGCTTCTTGAGAAGCAGCATTCTGCTTGGACTGAAGAGGCGTGTCCGACCTACAGGACTTATCTCCTCCGTTGTAGACGCCCCAGGACTGGGAGAAAAGGCGACTGTAGCTGCAGTCTGGCTCCGGCTGCAGGTTAGTAACCACTGCATCTCCACCCGGTTCTGCATCCTCCCCCTCATCTTCCTCCTTTTCCTCCTCGGTCCTCTCCTGCTCCTCCCTCTGTCTCTGTGTGGCCGCAAACTCGTAGATCTCCTCCAGCTCGTCCTCATTCACGTGTTCCTCGCTGATCTCTCTGTCGCCTGCAGTGACCTCATCATCTCGTCGGTCCTCCTCGCCCGGCCCTCCTCCATCCACGCCGTCCGAGTCACCTGTGCCTTCATCCTCATCCTCCTCATTCCACATGGATCGGAGGAGCTCCACGAAGGCCTGATCTGTTTGGTTATTCACGTTTTCCTCCTGGTTTACGTTGAGCTCATCATCTCCCACCTCCGCCATGCTCTCTGGTTGTAAATGACAGAGGTGCTCCAGCTCCTGCAGGTCAAACCTGAAAGAACATAGAGGTCGGACGACGGTGTTCTGAGTCAGGGAGGAGAACCACATGAAGAGTCAGTGACTGTGAAAGTTTTATGGGTCTAGTGAAATGAGAAACTTCTTAATACTCAATAAAATCCTTCAAATTTTTTTATTTTGATTTTATATATTGAAAGAGCAGCACAAGTTAGAGCATGACTGAAGAGGAGGTATATTGCTGCACATCTAAAAGCCAAACACTCCAAGCTCAGTCAGAATGGATGGAGAACATCTGTAAAAATTCATTTTTTAAATCTTCCCACTGATATACTTTGATTTAAACCATTCCAGAGTAGCGGAGGCTGTAAATTTAAAGGAATAGTACACCCAAAACATGATTAGCCTTTATTTTCTACACACCCCCATGCTGAACAACACTCTGGAG